TTGGTCTTCAGTGTTGTTCAAGCACTCTGTTTTCTTATTCATATTCCATTTGGATGTCCTATCCATGATTGAAAATGGGGTATTGAAATCTCCTACTATTGTGTTGCTTTCTTTTTCCCTCTTCAATTCTATCAATGTTTGCTTGAAATAGTTGCTTGCTCTACTATGGGATACATATATATCATAATTGCTATATTTTATGGGTGAGTTCACCTTTTTATCATTATAGTGTCCTTCTTTGTCTCTCATGATAGTTTTTGACTTAAAACTTATTTTATCTAAGTATCACCGCCCCAACTCTTCTTTTGATTGCTGTTTATATGGGTTATCTTTTTCCATCCTTTCACTCTCAGGCTATGTGTGTCCTTAAATCTAAAGTGAGTCTTTTGCAGGCAGCATATAATTGGATCTGGTTTTTAATTTATCTTTTGATAGGGCAGTTTAATCTGTTTCCATTTAAAGTAATTACTGAACCAGGCATGGTGGCTCATACCTATAATCCTAGCACTCTGGGAAGCTAAGGTGAGTGGCTCACTTGAGGTCAGGAGTTTGAGACTAGCCTGGCCAACATGGCAAAATGCTGTCTCTACTAAAAATACAACAACAAAAACAATTAGGCATGGTGGTACACACCTGTAGTCCCAGCTGCTTGGGAGACTGAGGCAGGAGAATCACTTGAACCCAGGAGGCAGAGATTGCAGTGAGTTGAGATCACACCACTGCACTCCAGCCTAGATAGCAGAGTTAGCCTCTGTTTAAAAAATAATAAATAAATAAATAAATATTGATAGGAAATTACTTACTTTTATTAATTTATTGTTTTCTGTCTTCCTTTTAGCTCCTTTATCCTTATCTTTTTCTCTTGCTGTCTTATTTGTGATTTAAAAAAACTTTTAGCGTCCAATTTTTATTCCTGTCTCATTTTCTTTTGTGTGTCTCCTGTAGATATTTCCTTCTGGTTGCTGTGGGGCTTATGTAACTCATTTTACAGTTATGATCATCTATTTTAAGATGATAACAATTTGACTTCAATCACATACAACAATGGTGCTGTTCCACTAGGCTCTTTATGTTATTGATATAATAAATTACATCTTTTTATATTATGTATCTATTAACATAATTTTCTAGTTTTTATACTTTTATCTTTTCACTTTAATATCAAAATTAAAAGCTGTTTATATAATATTTGTAATGTTACATGTAATACAATGTTATAGTAATATAATATGTGTGTATGTATACACACACACACACACACACACACACACACACACCTTTACCAGTAAGTTATATGTTTTCATGTTACTATCTGGTGTCCTCTCATTTCAACTTGAAGGACATCATTTAGCATATCTTGTAAGGCAGATTTCTTTCTAAGAGGACTGTTCTGTCTTGCCTTGGTTTTATCATTTGTAAAATGGAATGCTAGTGGCAATCAATTCATCTTGGAAAAGTTTTATATGACTTATAAATATTTCTGCAAAATTTGGTTATCATAATTATTACTTTAGCATGTACATTGAGGGGGTTTCCATTACAACATTATGAATTAGTGTAGATTGTAAGGCTTGTGTAGTGTACGTGTGTGTGTGTGTGTGTGTGCGCGCGCACATGCTCACTGAGGTATAGTTCTGAGGTAGAGACAGAGACAGTTGCTTTGAAACCTGATTGTCCTTTGACGCACAAAATTATGACCCTGTCTGCTCTGGGAACAGTCACTTGCTTCTCCTCAGAAGGGGTGTTCAGTTGCTGATTTCTTAACCAATTTCCTAAATGGGTAATTGTGTTCTGACTCATACATTTCCTGACTCATACATTTCCCTCTACATTTCCTGACTATTTCAGGTGACTGTCTCTTCTTCATTGCCCTTAATGGGTATGTAATGAAGTCACATTATTCAAAGTTGTTGCTGTGTTTCAGGCTGGGGTGGACTACTCTTAAATAATATCTCACTATAGGGTCAGAATAAAGCTGGCACACATGTGGTCTACTTCCACCTCAATTTCTAACCATATTGAAAAGAAGGTCTTAAAATGAGAGGTGGCATTCAGGGCCTAAAGATCCTCTGATTGAAAGTTTTTGGTTAGTCATTAGTATTTCAGATGAGTTAAATGTTCAGGCTTTAGGGTCAGTTTGCTTCATTTTTTTAAGCTGTGAACTTGGTTGTATGACTAACCGTTTGCAGTCTGGTTTCCTCAACAGTAAAATGGTGATAATAATAATACTTATTTCACAGAGTTTTTATGAGGATCAAATGAGATATTCTCTATAAAAATACTGGCCTGGCTGGGTGCAGTGGCTCATGCCTGTAATCCCAGCACTTTGGGAGGCTGATGTGGGCAGATCACTTGAGGTTTAGAGTTTAAGACCAGCCTGGCCAACTAACATGATGAAACCCAGTCTCTACTAAAAATACAAAAAAATTAGCCGAGCATGGTGGCATGTACCTGTAATCCCAGCTATACTTGGGAGGCTGAGGCAGGAGAATTGCTCGAACCTGGGAGGTGGAGGTTGCAGTGAGCCGAGATCAGCCTGGGCGAAGGAGAGAGACCCCGTCTCAAAAACAAACAAACAAAACCAAAAAAATCTAAGCATGTTATGTGGCCTATGTGTGGGGGATCAATGCATGTTGGCCTCAGTATGATTGTTTCATTGGTTTGGCCCTTCAGTAGGTCATTGCTGGGCAACTCAAGTCTATCTGGGAGCTGAAGAGAGAAACAGATTAAGTACAACAGATAATACAGTAGAGTTTTATGTAGCATACCTGAGAACATAGGAAAGAGAATAGTTAGTTGACAATAAGGTCAGGGCATGTTTCCCAGCGGAAGTGGACCTTACGGGAAAAGTGAAATTTCCCTGGAGAAAAGAGGCAGGAGAGAGAGAGAGAGGTATTTGCTTTCCAAATCATCATACAAATACATTTATGGATTCGTTGGGTCTTTCATTCATATAGTCCACATATAATTATTGAATTCTCACTATGTGAGGGGCTCTGTAACACAATGATGAGGAAAAAAATAAAAATAAAAAAATATCCCTGCTCTGTGTAGCTCTCACTTTTTAGGCAAGATGGGTGTGAAACCAATAGATAGCCCATAGGAAAGGTGTAGGTCATCACTGGATGGTATAGTCTTGAGACTGAATAGGTGTTAGGATGGGAGCTATCCAGTAAGACCTCTGTGGGCAACTGAGATTTAAACTGAGACCCAGGTGGGAATGGGAGTGAGGTAAGAAGAGGCAGAGAAGGCTCTGTGCCAGGAAGACTGTGGTGGCTTTTGGGAACCGAACGAAGTCCACTGTGGCTGAGACGTAGAGCACATGGGAAAGGTACAGAGAGGACACTGGTGAGATAGCATGGGGAAGACCACAGGGGTTCTTGATGGTCATTCCACGGATGCAGACTTTGGTCCCAAGTGCAATGGGAACTCATTGAAGTGTTCTGTTTATGCATAGAAATGTTTCAAGACTTACATGTTGCAGAAAAAAACAATCATCTGCTATGTGCAGCATGCATTAATGAGGATTAAAGTGGAAGTGGAAAAACCAATATAGGTAGTTGTGACAACATGATAGTGGCTTGCATTGGGGTAGTGGCAAAAAAATAATAAACCAATCAACAGTTGTATCTGGTGAGCTCTGAGGCACTTGGTGTATTTAGAGAATGAGATACATGGTGCTGAGTCACTGACATGATTGGTTTGGGCAGCTTTTGAGGAGCGGTGGTGTGACTTATTTCATGCTACGAAATTTGCGTTTATACTATAAAAAGGGCTGATGGAGGTTAACCAGCAGAGAAATGAAATAATCAGATTAGCGTGTGTGTGGAGGATATTTCTTTTCCCACCTACTTCTTGAGCTAGGCATTTACTGAATTTAGAGGAATAGATGAGAGGAACAGTGCGGCGTCAGTGCAGGGAAAGATGGATGGAAAGCAGACTCTTTTGTAGAACAGCACAAAAGAGGTATATGAAAGGGAGGTTAAACTTCTCAGCGTGAAAGGCTATTGATCTTGTAAATACTTAACCCTGAAGCCACCTAAGCCTTCTCTCAGGCACGACCCCAATATTCCAAACCGCCAGCACAGCCGAGGATGTGGATGTAACTGGAGGAAGGACGGCCACTGTGGAAACACGATGAGCCAAGACACGTTGTGGGCAGGGAGGGGTTGACAACAGTGTTAAAGGAGTCAAGGGATTATGGGAGAGAGAGAATGTCCAGTGGGGACGGCTTTCCTTTCTGCTAGTAAGCAGGTGGCACTCGGTAGTGTTCTGAGAGTCTAAAGCAGAGGCACCATGACCATTGAGGAGCTAGGAATAAATCGGAGACGGTGGGAAAATATTTGGAAAACCAAATTCATTATGCACTGTCTATGATTTGGATTCAAGTCAGGGGTGATTTTCGAGACTCTTGACGCTCTATATCTGACTGGCCAAGAGTGAAATAATCTGGTAATGAACGGGGCCACTCTTCCCTTCTCTTGCTTGGGTTGATGTGTTTAAGATACTACATGGGGAGTGCTCTGAAGGGATGGAATATTTGGGGGCTTTTGCAGTTGGCTGAGAAAGAAGGCTGTCCACAGTGACTGAAACAGACATAAGAACTATTGATCTGGTGGAGTCTTTGGGAGGATTAAAAAAACTCAAGAAAATGTTGAACCCTGCTGAGCTGTGCCAGGAAAAGAAAAAAAAAAAAAAAAAAAACTCAAGAAAAAAAAAAAAAACTAAAATGTTCTACCTCTATGAAGTTTTAAGCCTGTTCCACATAACACACTTCCAAAAATTTAATAAGTAAGATAATTTGTTAACCATCCTTGCTGTGTGCTACAGATAACTCTAAATTCCCTTAAATACATCTTAGCTTTCACATAGTAGGCACTTTTCAACAGTATGTATGCAGCTCTGATGTGCCATACTGATTTCTGTGCCTCACTTTTGGTGTTGCATACTGGAGACATTCATTCAGGGCGTGGATCAAACTTCTGATTGTTCATTTTCAGGTTACAGAACTCAACAATGTGAAGAATGTCGCTCGATTGCCAAAGAGCACCAAGAAACATGCCATAGGGATTTATTTCAATGACGATACTTCCAAGACTTTCGCTTGCGAATCAGGTTTGTCTCCGGCAAGGCTGCGGGGCTTTTGCTTTTAGATTCTGAGTGGGTGCTGGACACACGGATTAATCTTTTGGACATTTCCACAGATCTTGAAGCCGATGAGTGGTGCAAAGTACTCCAGATGGAGTGTGTAGGAACACGGATCAATGACATCAGCCTTGGAGAGCCTGACTTACTGGCCACTGGGGTTGAAAGAGAACAGAGTGGTATGTAAAGAAAATTCTCTTCTCTGTCTTTCAAAACTGCTTATGTCTCTGTGTAATGAAACACAGGACATCTTCATTATGTAAAGTTTTTGGGGTATAAAAATGTATAAAGAAATAGGGCCGGGCACGGTGGCTCATGCCTGTAATCCCAGCACTTTGGGAGGCCGAGATGGGCGGATCACGAGGTCAGGAGTTTGAAACCAGCCTGGTGAAACCCCACCCCTACTAAAAATACAAAAATTAGCTGGGCATGGTGGCACGTGCCTGTAGTCCCAGCTATTTGGGAGGCAGGAGAATCACTTGAACCTGGGAGGCAGAGGTTGCAGTGAGGCGAGATCGTGCCACTACACCCCAGTCTGGGTGACAGAGCGAAACTCCATCTCAAAATAATAAATAACGTATAAAGAAATAAATAAAACAACCTTTTATCCAAATTCACAACCTGTCTTAACATTTCCATGTATTTTTTTCTTATTTTTTTTCCAATTCATAACACGAATATATGTACATTAATAATATCAGTTTGAAATTTTTGGGAACCTTTTCTGTGCCAGTTTGGTGGAAGATGATCCATTCATCTCAGATTATTTATTATACATTTCACAGCAGCCCTATAATGTGTAGGTATAATTACTCCCTTCGTTTTGCAGATGAGGAAACTAAAATTTAGAGGAACAAAAGACCTTGCTCCAGTTGTGTTAACTCACTGGTGTTTGGTTCTAGACTGTAACATTGGGCTCATATTTGCAGTGTACAGATTTTAAAATGTCATGGGCATTTTTTGGTCTTGCCTTTTTCACTTAAAATGTTAGCAACAGCTTTCCAATGCTTTCAGTATACTTCAAACTTCATGACTGTTTCATCAAATTTAAACCCATCTAAAAATCTGTAATTAAAAACATATATATTTTATTGAAACACTTGAGCTGAGTCTGAGCTCAGCACTCAATCTGGGAGTAAATCATTTAAAATAATAATGACCAAAATATCCATGAACACTTTGGCAAAAATCAATGTTGACTTGCAGAACAAACCTGGAAGTGAGGAGTCATTTCTTTGTCTCCTAACAGCTGAGCCTAGGGACAGGGTAGATCAGATCGCAGAGTTCTGCTTTAGCTGGCTGACTTGATCTATGAGGGCATGTCACCTTGGAAAGGACTGTAGTCATCTGGTCTGATTATGGACATGGCAGAGACAGAATTGTACTGACTTTCTGTTGGTGCACACTCCAATGTTAGTAAAAAAAATATGCTGTCCCTCCCAACCAGAACTATGTCTTCTTGACACATTTACACTCTGTGACTGTTTAAGAGGCACCATGTCTACCATAACCCATCTCCACAGAAGTGTTACTGACTGAGACCTAGAAGTGCTGGATAATTCAGAGGTACCTCTTTGTAGATTGGAAAATTGAGCTACAGAGAAATTAAGTTATTGATGGGGTCATACAGCCAATCCCCACACTCCTCCTTCTCTGGTTCACTAAATCAGGATGCCCCAGGCAGAGAGGATACCTGGGAGCCAAGCATAAAGAAAACCTGGCAGGTTTTGATTACTCTTCTTTTTTTCACCCAGAGTGGTCAGATCAGCACTTTTCACAGATTTATATCTGGGAAATAGCATCCTGACAGCATCACAATCTGAATTTAAGAATTGGCAGTGCTTAGGAGATGCGTTTCTCACGGCAGTTTTCTGTGCCTCAGTTTCCTCTTCTGTTAAATGGAAACAATACCTCTGGTTTACAAGTATCAGGGATCATTATAAATTCAACTGTGTCCTCTCAGGCCCTTTACAATGTTCATTAGTATGACTTCAAGTGATTGCAATTAAAATGGACACTCCATCACTATTAATGTTATTCTTTTTTAAATTTTATTAATTTTTTCCCTACTTCTCCCTTGTTATTATTCTTGGGTGAGGTAGGACTTATAGAACTTCTAAGCAAATAAATTGATAATAATCTCTCTTTTTACTTAATATAGACAGTCGTTCTTACTTGGAGCTGTCAAAGGAGGGAATATGCTCAATTAGAATATATATATTTTTAAAGAGCTACTAGAAATCAACAAATATTTGCTTATTGGAAGTATAAAGTAATTTAAAATTTTGAATAGTAGATGGCGCAACATTTCATGAACACAATCTCGGCGTTAGTATTACTAAATTCAACTAAAATCTATGAAAATTCAAATGACTTTTATTATAAAACAATGTATTCAGAATACTGCTGATATAAAATTGTTAATGTCACATTGTCAGATGTAGGCAGTCTACCAAAATAATGCATAGGTGGAAATATACTTGCTATAGTAATATTTTTGTTCATAGTTCACTTAAAAACTTTGACCCTAATACTTCTTAATGAATTTTCCAGAAATTTAACAGAAATATGGTATTATAACAAAAACATCCCTGTATCTGCAGGGATGAAAATTAGGTTGCAGTAATCAGTCAGGCAGTTTATGGAGAATAATCTTGGTTGCATATTAGCAATTATCTAAATATGCAATGAATATTTCTTTCCAGTATTTGGCTAAAGAAAGCTCTGTGTTAAAACTAGTTCAAATATATGCATTGGCATTTCCCAAAATTGTTGGCCAGTTAAGTGCATAGTATTACTGTGGAGCTTTAGTTAAATAATTTGGGATACAGTTTTATTCATTCAGTTATAGAAATTATAAGTTGATCAACTTAACTTGAATATCATTAAACCATGATGTAATTGTTTTTCACCTGCATCTTTTGTGAGCACAAAAGTGTGGATCTAGTTAATGTGTTCTTTGCAGGGAAAAAAAAAATTGCTTTTAATAGTTTCGTTGCTTTAGTCTTTTATTGGAATACACCTTTTTTATTATGCAAATTTAAAAATTCTAAAATTGGTCTTTGCTCATGTAAATAGTGCTTAGTGTATGTTGACAGGCTGTATCATTATTATGTTACTTAACAGAGTCTGCATTTAAGAAATCATTTTCTGGGACTGTTATTTTATGGAAAACGTTTATCTTTTTGAAAATGCAACCAAAATCTAGAATGTGAACTTGAATTGTTTTTAAATGCCTCTGTGTTCCTACAATGTCTTTGATGTTTTATTCCTGGGGATTTTAGACTAACGTTTTGTTTTTCTCCCAGAGAGATTCAATGTGTATTTGATGCCATCTCCTAACTTAGATGTACATGGCGAATGTGCCTTGCAGATTACATATGAGTATATCTGTCTTTGGGACATCCAGAATCCCAGAGTCAAACTCATCTCTTGGCCGCTAAGCGCCTTGCGGCGGTATGGACGTGATACTACGTGGTTCACTTTTGAGGCAGGGAGGTGAGTTTAATTACTTTTAATGACTATTTTTCTGGGTTTTGTTGTTGTTGTTCATTTTTACCAGGCTTGTATCATATGTGGTGGTAGGTTTATATATGATACCCAACTGAAGTATACTTGAAGAAATTCAGAGTTGTGATTATGTAATATGAGGGGTCTTGTAAATATTTACATATTCAATATGGCTTTTTCCCTGTGGAAGATTCTAATGCTTCACACACATGATAGAAAATTTCGTTACACAGTTTGATTCCATAACACAAACTGAAGTTGAACAAGGTTAAAAATGTTAAAAATGTACCATTTCCTGGGTCAAGCTGAAGAGAGGCCAGCTTCTTGATTTTGGAAAACTTCCATATTGTTATTTCACATGTGTTTCCTCATCTGAGCTAACCATGGTAGATTAATATGAGGGTCTGTGGACTTTTTACCAGCTGCAATTTCTTGAGTTTTATCTATTTGGCTTACAGTGTAAGGATTCTCATGAATATTGAAAGAGATTAATGCTAAAACTTGCTCTTTGTGATACCTACTAAGCACTTTCAGGGTTTTATCTTTTTCCTTTTGGGGTTGATCTGGGAAAGATGAAATAGTGCCAATCATATATGGGGTGATTGGTACCTACAAAAAATTTCTCTAGTCAAAATCTTGTTTTCCTTTCCTTGCTTATTGGAAGTATAAAATAATTTAAAATTTTGAATAGTAGATGGCGGAACATTTCATGAACACAATCTCGGCGTTAGTATTACTAAATTCAACTAATTTCCCTCAGAATTTTGGCTTCATTTTGAACACTGCAGATAAATTTTATATTTTAGAATTGTAAGTGACTAAATTTTAAGAAATGTAAGTTCTTCTGTATATGGCCTGACATTACACTCAAATAGAAAGTATTAAACAAAAATTGTTTGTAAAAGCAGACAGCTATTTCTAACAGGAATATGACTCCCGATGGAAGGAAAGTAAAAACTGAAGTTCTAAACACCCCAATCCATGTGAATAGATAACAGTAGTGGTCACCTCTGACTAATCTGTTCATTCCACTTTAATCAAAGCCCAATTATTTAAAATTTACATTTCAGAAGTATGACCAATTTGATGTTCTTACAACTGTCTGGGAAGGTTTTTACTTTATACTTTTCATACAGCTCTTTTCTCGTTTATTTTATTTTTAAGTACCTAGAAACAAGTTGGTGAATCTTCCAAAGACTGTAAAAGTTATCACAAAAAGTAAACCTTTAATGTTTAAACCAATGTTCTTATTTTGTGAGAATTACGTATTTATTCTTCTTATAAGAAAAATCCCAGGCCAGGAACAGTGGCTTATGCCTGTAATCCAAGCAATTCTTGAGGCCAAGACAGGGGGATTGCTGGAGCCCAGGAGTTTGAGACCAGGCTGGGCAACATAGGGAGACCCTATCTCTCCAAAATTGTTCTACTATAAAAACACATGCACCTGCATGTTCGTCACAGCACTATTCACAGTAGCAAAGACCATGGAATCAACCCAAATGCCCATCAAGGATAGACTGGATAAAGAAATTTAATACATATATACCACGGAACACTATGCAGCCATAAAAAAGAATGAGATCATATCCTTTACAGGGACATAGATGGAGCTAGAGGCCATTATCCTTGGCAAACTAATATAGAAACAGAAAACCAAATACTGCATGTCCTCACTTATAAGTGGGAGCTGAATCATGAGATCACATGGATACACAGATGGGAACAACCCATACTGGGGCCTATCTGAGGGTGGAGCATGGAGGAGGTAGAGGATCAAGAAAAGTAAATCATGGATACTAAGCTTAATACCTGCATGATGAAATAATCTGTACAATAAACCATCATGACACAAATTTACCTGTGTAACAAACCTGTACATCCTGCACATGTATTCCTGAACTTAAAAGATTTTTAAAAAGGAAAATAAGAATACCTATTGATTACTAGGTATATTGTACAAAAAAGTAAAAGCTAATTAAATGAAAAAAAAAAAAATTAGCCAAGCACAGTGGCACACACCTGTGGTCTCAGTTACTCTGGAGACTGAGGTATGAGGATCACCTGAGCCTGAGAGGTCAAGGCTACACTTAGCTAAGATCGTGCCACTGCACTCCAGCCTTGGGTGACAGAGTGAGACCTTGTCTCAAAAGAAAAAGAAAATCCCTATAGAAAATTAATAATTTTTTGGTGAGGTTGGTACCTTTTCCCTTTGTGTCTCAGAAATTATTTATATATTAACTATAACCAGTGAAATCTAAGTATAGACAATGTTTTATGATATAGACTTTTCTATGACTGTACATCTCATATCACCCCATTCATATTTCAAATTGATGTGTAAGATAATTATGCATTGATCAAGGGTCTTTGGGTCTGTTTTGGGCAGCATTTATTCAATTATTAATCTTTTAAAATCATTTTTTGATGTACCATTTACAGGAAATACTAGTAGAAAAAGCGTATAGTTTTTTATGGTGGTGTTTGAAGACCAAAATCTTAGTAAACTTTATTAGTATCTCATACCTATTTTAAACTTGAAGAACATATTATCGTATTAATTTTCTAGGTTTAAAATGAATACTATACATATCTTGCAAACGTTTAATTCATTTATATTGAAATCTAATAGAACTGCTAAGGATTTAGGTGATTACTTAAAAGACGTTAATATTTCTCCTAAGTGCTGTTGGAAACCATAGAGATTTGAAGGCAGGTATGTTTGAGTCTCTGTGTGTGTATGAGATGTATGTATATGGTGTGCGTGTGTATGTGATGTAATTGTGTTAATATTTTGTAAAGATCACTTTGACCACATTGTAGACAATAGGATAGTGCGACAGATACATGGATGTCGGAGATATTGAACCAGCTCAAGTGAAACAATGGTGGATGAAAAGATATATTGGTGACGTAAATCCCAGAATTATTTCAATGTTTTTTACTAAAGTGCTGACTTGAAAGACATAAGTGTTTTATTCCATGACTTTGATGACCCCTTTATGGTCAGTCCATTTGCATATTTCATCAAGAACTCCAGTGGTTAGATGACTATAATATTAACAATCCAGGTCACTCAGTGTTATACTTCCAATATTGTAGGGACATAGAATATGTATTGATTTTGAATTGCATTATTTCTTATGCATTGGTCATGTTTTGCAGGGCTGTTGCAAACTTGAGACTGAATGGTCAGAAAGGAAAGTGTGGAAGCTGAGTGCTTAGGATCTTACTCATTTCTCAAACAGCATGGCATAGTACACGAAGCACTGAATCAGAATTTAGAGAGACTCTGAGTAATTTCTAGTTTTTGCTAGCTGCTAACCTTGGGCAAAGTTCTTAACCTTCCTTGTAAGTTTATTGGAGTAATAACTTTCTTGCAGAGTTGTTACAAGTAAAGGTGGAAGTGCATGTAGATGTGATGACCTGGGAGGATGCTGGGCTTCTCCTAAATAGCATCCTTGATATTCTATTATGATTACTTTTGGAGCAGAACTTGGGCTTGTGAGATACAGTGTTAAATGCAAGGTAAAAATTACTATTTTATATTTTGCCTGAAGCTCAAATAAAGATGAATTTTTATAGTTACCATCAAGATGATCAGGATAATAAGATAATTCGTGTTCCACCAAGCAATGAAGCTTTCATGTCTGCCTTGCTTTATTAGTGAAGATAAATTTTTCTTTAGCTAGTTTTGGATATGATGAAATAAGGCAGTTTTATAGTAGCCAGTATAATTTCTCCCCTCTCTCACATCAAGAAGTGAGCAGGAGTTGTCTAAGTAAATAGTTTTCACATGTTCAACAGGCATCTGCAAACACTTAGCAATATCCTCTAGAACACAAGGAGTCTTTCTTGGACAAAGTTCTGCTCATATTCAGCCTCTCTTAGAACTAGAACTGAGTGTTATTCCTGCTCAGTGGCCCCATTTCACACCACCAAAGCTGATAGTGGAACATGTGTAATAAATTGAACTGGAAGTTGGAGGAAATGAAGTAAAATTACAGTTCTGTAGCTAGCTAGCTGTGGGAACATGGATATGTCATCTAACTCCTTGGGCTTCTTTTCATTGCCACCTGTAAACTGGGAACACATATATTACTTATCTCACAAGACTGCTATGAAGATTAAATAAAAGCACAGGTAAAGTCACCTGGAATAGTGCCTGGCAGGTACTAGGCAGTTGTATCAACCCAGACTGGTACTGAAAAGAAATTCATTGACTTACATAAACTCAAAGTCTGAGCAGTAGAGATGGCTTCAGTCTTGGCTTGGCTCAGTGTCCAAATGGTGATCCTAGGTTTCATTTGACAGTTCTGCTTCTCCTAAAATAGGTTCATTCTAGTCCCATATGGTGACTTTCAGGAGCTTTGAGATCTCCCCACACTATCTCAGTAGAAGAGAGGTATACGACTCCTATCTGCTGACCATTATATATACTATGTGTCCAGAGCCGCACTTTACCCAAAGCTCACAGGGTATAAATACAAGGAGGGTTCTTTGAAGGCACAAAGAAGGTACTGTTGCCATCAGAAGAGGAGTGGAGGTGAGGTTTTTAAAAACTAACAAAATATGTACAATATAGCATTTAATATTGCTCAAAACAAGTAAGGTAAGGAGGCTACTTGACTGTAATTAGCATTTGTATTCACAATGGTATTTCCAGAGCAGTGATTCTTAGCCAGAACTGATTTTGCTCCCAGGGGACGTTTGATAGTGTCTGGAGACATTTTTGATTGTCGTAACTTGGGCAGGGGGTGTTACTGGCATCTAGTACAAAAAGGGGTCAGAGTTGCTGGTAAACAGCCTACACTGCACAAAATGGTCCCTGATAAGAAAGGATTATCAGGTCTAATCATGCGGTTGAGAAATCCTGCTCTAGCAAGTGTATGAGCCATTGAAAATCATCAGTAGCATGTATTGAGCCCTTACTATATGAAAGCCTCTGTGCTAAGAGGCTTGTTATCTCATTTAAGCTACTCATTATCATC